TGTTTTTTTAATAATTAGAGATTCAGAGCAGAGGACTTAAAAGTTAAAACTCTAAACAATCAGTAAAAATGCAAGCACTTGTGTACTTAAAAATCCTAAAATATGCTCTAAAAGTATGCACTTTAATTTTTTTTAAAGGTTTCATTAGTACATATTATAGAATAACTACTGATATTTGTTTTGATAAACATTATTAAAAAAAGTGAATAAAACACAAAAATAAACCTAAATATGTCTCAAAAATCAAAAGATGCAAAAATATTATGTTCCGTAAAATTACAGATTTGTATTTTCTTGTAACATAAAACAAATTTGTATCTAGCTGGCCTTTACGATCGCGCAAAACCAATATTATGCAAATGCTATAAATCCTCTGAACTAATAATATTTGTTTTTAATTTTGACGTCGATAACGGATCTGACCTTTTGTACTTGGATAGATATTTTGGGTTTGGCAGCACTGAACATTATGAACCCGACGTTTGCAACGATGCCGATGAGCACACCGTATTCCAATGGAAGAAACAAGCACGAGAAGAACGTGATCAACATGAGTACCAAATCTCTTTCTGCGGACATCCAAATAAACTAGTTAATTTCATGACAATTATAATAATAATATAATAATAAGTACTCGTAGGTATATGTATAATATTATACAGTGAAACCCACTACCCAGTTAAGGGGTTTTAACATGTATGGTTGTAACTATATAGAAGAAATTCCGGACACCTCTCTTGAATGGACAATGATAAATAATAATGTCTCCGCAAAAATATAAGTATTGGAATGTGCCTGTCTATAACGGACGCTTTTGATGGTATTAATATTATGTTATAATATCTCGTTGTTTTGTATCACGATGAACGCTCTAAAAAAACCTTGTTTGACTGTGCCAGAATTGAACTGATACAGCCATACAGGTAATATTGCAGTAATATGTTATAACTAGCTGAATAACCCGGCGTTGACAGGAAAAAATTGTGATTAATTAACTATTTTTATGGGTAATTCACTATGGCCGCTGTGCATATGGAAGCAAAATCATATTATATTTCAATTTATTATTTGGCCATCCCGCGTGGAGTTGCCCATGAGTCTCGCTTATGGTTATGCGAACAGTATATCATCAGGCAAGCAATCTACCTGCGTTAGATTACAGACACAGTGAAGTGGATGATAAAATATAGCCTATATAGCTTTGTAGTTGAAAAAAATATTAGGTTATACTGTTTAGTTAATACAGTGTAAATAAAATAGTATTGAAGTCATAGTTGATCATCCTGGATTTTCAAAACTCAAAAGTATTTAATATTTATATATTAATATATTTTGAGGATTATTTTATTTTAATTTATTTCATTTTATTTTTACGGACAAATCGGCGTAATTGTACCTAGCTTTGTGATATAATTCACATATGTAACCAAGTTTGTGTACTTGTGTTTTCAAATGAGAACACCCTTTTTCAACTTTAAATTATCAGAATTAAAATTAGTAAGGGTAGCTTTTGAGTTTTTCAACTTAGTGTTACAAAGATAAAACTATAAAAGATCCATGGTAATGGATTTATAAGATATAGGGGCTATGGTGATTTGAAAATTATAGTAAAGTCATTAATATTAATCTATCAATATTAATAACTTGTAAAAATGAACCAAGTATGATAAATAATAGATACAGTTTTACGTCAATTTTATATTTATGTAAAATTGTAAAACCATTTTCAAGGACTATTATCTTAAATACAAACATTTTAATAACTAAGAAACTAACTCATTCAAATTTTGAATTAGGTACATCAAAATTTTCAAAAAAATGATCCACTAAATAATTTACAGTAAAAAAAGGGGATTGTCATTTGAAAAACAGAAGTTTGTATCACTACAGGTCACAGGACACTCCTTAAGTACTAAGTAGTACAATAAAATTCAAGAATTTGAAAATATGGTCTATGAGTATATTTAAAAATTCATTATTAAAGGAAAAATGGGGTGAGCATGCTTGGTCAATCACCCTGTATATAAATGTATTATACTATAAAGCTAAAATATAATTAATAGGTATAACATAAGTAGGTAGATTTACCTATAACCTATGCACTTTTTTTCGTTCTAATTTACATCTAATTTACATATGCGTTTACGGTGAGATATACCAATGGACCGAAATAACACCAATAATACCAAATTGTTCATTGTTCCATAGTTCAAAATATACGTACTTTTTGACCTGTAAATGTGTTTGACAATATTGACGTCGACCATCATAAACGAGGCGGCAATTATAACGGCGGCCAGCGAGGTCTTCGGGATGTAATAGAAATATGGTGTCAAATACACCAATGCCGCCATAACAGTAAGTCCTAAACTTTAAATCCCATTACAATTTTTTTGCAAACACGTAGTGGTATACCAATATATCCTAACGTAATTATTCATAAAAAAAAATTACCCGTGTATAGGCCTCCGAGGGGTGTGCGCACGCCGCTCGAATAATTGAGCGCTCCTCTGGCGATAGCTCCAGACCCAGTGAAACCCTGGAAGAACGAATTGCCGAGGTTCGCTAAACCGATTGCCAACAGCTCTTGGTCCGTGTCCACTGGCTTACCCTCCGCTATAATACGTATATTAGGTTGTATTCGAAAAATGTCTTATATATACTTGAACAAAAGTAGGTTAAAAGCATTTACAAAAACACTTCCAAGCGCTATAATAAAAATTAACCATAACATTGTGTAAAATATAATAATATAATAATATTATAGGGGGACGGATTGGCCGAGCGGACTAAAGCGTCGGTTGCGAGGCGCACGGTCGCCGGTTTGAACTCGGTGACAGGTGGCATTCTTCTTAGGGCAGTCACGGTGTCCGGAGAGAGTGGCCGTCACCCCCACTCGCGTGCATGGCAGATACCTATACGGGTGCCCACTTAAAAATGTTGCCAAAAAGAAACACACACGTGTTCAAACCTACAAAACCCTCCCCCACAGTACTGTAGCTGTCAAAGAC